AATGACGCTTTTTGTGTAGAAGTAATTAATGATCCTAACTTTAACAGTGATTATAAAGTGATAAACAATGTTGTTGTTACCAAAACTCAACCATCAAAGTGTTATGTGCCGGTTGCTGCGCGTCTTATAACAATGAGACTTTTTCACGACGAATCATCACACATAGGTTGGAATAAGTGTATTGCTAAAATGAGAGAAGATTTGTTTTGGCCAAAAATGGGACAAAAATACATTAAAAACTGTAGAGCATGTGTTTTGGGAAAATCTCACACTGGTCGCAGAAAAGGACTTTGGCAAAGTGGAGAAAAATGTGATGATATCCTACACACTTGGCATATAGATCATGCCGGCCCGCTTATAAAATCAAATGGCTGTACCCAAGTTTTGGTAGTAATAGATGCATTTTCGAAGCTCTGTCGATTAATGCCAATACCTAAGAAAACGTCAGAAAACTCCATTCGTGCGTTAATGTCAATGAATGTCAATTTTTGATGAGTTGGGAACACCAATACGAATAATCGCAGACAGGGCCGCAGCTTTTACTTCGACGACTTTTAAAAACTTTTTAAGTGAACAAAATGTGCAGTTGCATCATATTGCAACAGGAGTTCCTCGTGGCAATGGGCAAGTTGAACGTGTTATGCGTACTGTCTTTAATTTAATGCGAGCAACGTTAACTGCAGAAAAAGAAAGTACATGGACAACTGTAATTTCTGAAATAGAGGACAATTTAAACTCTACGGTGCATTCAATAACTGGCCACGTTCCAAAAGTCTTACATCTTGGTGCAAACTCTAAATTATTAGCCACCAAACCGTTTTTAGAAAATGCAACTTTAAATGATAATTTTGTTGACCCAGACAAGGCCGTTGCAGAAGCACAAATTCGATTGTCGAATAGCTCCAAGAAGTCAGCTCAGCGCTTTAACGCCTTGCGTTGTAAAGCCAGCTTATTTAATATCGGAGATGTTGTTGCTGTCGAAGATTCACAGTTGGCAGGTGGAGGAAAATTAAAAGCCAAATATAAAGGACCATACACTGTGAGAAAATTATTACCCAATGAAAGATATTTGTTACACAAAAGAGCACAACGGACTACTGTGGCTGCCCATGATCAATTGAGACGATGGCCAACAGCAACCCTACCAATGGATTAATGTGTAAGTCCATTTGAGTTTTATTAAAGAGTAATGTGGCACCCCCACAACTATTTCGAAAATATGACAACCCTCTAATTTCTAGTATGTTAATAAAATTGTGGAATCCCCACCAGTTAGTTAAAATTATGCCAATTTAATAGTTGAATTAAAAATATAGTGACAACCCCATATAATTGGTTAAATTATGGCAACCCCATAAATGAGTTGAAAATATTGTGGCAACCCCTCATTATTGTTGAAATTATGGCAACCCCATAATTGAGTTGAAAATATTGTGGCAACCCCACATTATTGTTGAAATTATGGCAACCCCATAATTAAGTTGAAAATACTGTGGCAACCCCACATTATTGTTGAAATTATGGCAACCCCATAATTGAGTTGAAAATATTGTGGCAACCCCACATTATTGTTGAAATTATGGCAACCCCATAATTAAGTTGAAAATATTGTGGCAACCCCACATTATTGTTGAAATTATGGCAACCCCATAATTAAGTTGAAAATATTGTGGCAACCCCACATTATTGTTGAAATTATGGCAACCCCATAATTGAGTTAAAAATATTTTGGCAACCCCACATTATTGTTGAAATTATGGCAACCCCATAATTGAGTTAAAAATATTTTGGCACCCCCACATTATTGTTGGAATTATGGCAACCCCATAATTAAATTGAAAGTATTGTGGCACCCCCACAAATTTGTTTAAATTATGGCAACCCCATAATTAACTTTAATTATTGTGGCAGCCCCACAATTTGTTTTGCAATGTTACAGATGGTTAAATGCGGTGCGAGGACGCCCCGAGAGCAGGATGGCCGTGTTAGCGTAGAAAGTATTATGGAAGATGTCAGCAAGACTGAACGTAAACAAATCCAACATAAACAAAGGGGAAGACTGCGTGAGCCGTCGAACCCAGAGGGGCAGTCTCATATTGAACACAGATACGCACACACTTGTTGAAAATAAAGTAGTTTTGGATCAATTGGACTTTTATTGGGGCAGTTAACCCCTTATAATTATTATTATAATTATCAAATAATAACTATAGGTATACATAATATAATAAACTAAATAATACATAATATTATAAACTATCATGTATGCGTTTTTAATAAATAATTTAGGCTTCAAAATGAATGCTAAAAGCTTGAGGTCGAATAATTATTATCAACCAAACGAAATTTACCACACCAAATTTGTGATATTAATTTTAATAAACCAGACTTCGAATTCAATAGAAACAGTAGCTTTTCATAAATATGAAATTAACATTTTATAGATTATCGGTATGACATAGGTAATTATTAATTATTATTACATAAATACTAATTAAAATATGGAAAGGCTTCTACATATTTTGAAATCCAACAAACTTTATGAATCACGTAAACTAAGGAATTTATGGAATTAAAATGGGACAATGATGCAAATTCCTATGAATGAAAGGATAATTATACTATTGCTCTTTGCCCATCGGAAGCCTGGCAGTATCATAAACTCTATTATGCTGAAGAAACAGTGACTTTTGTACATTATTGTACAATGTCAAGCTTTGTTCGAGTTATTTAGGACATTTCTCAATAACACACATTTATTGTTGGTTTTAACGTTTAATGATTTATTTAAGCAGATTTTAAAACCAAATTTATTTCGAATTTTTAAATTTAAAGAATTAGGTTAAGTATTGAAATTAAAGTTCCGCCGACATATTTGGTTTTTACTATAGGTACCTAGCTTTAGTTTATATTCCCAATTGTAAGACAGTTACATTTATATATAGGTGTCCCATACCGAATAGGCTTAATCCTTGGATGGTTTAAATGAAAAAGTTTGTATACAATTAGGTCCCCACCGCTTTCTTTTGAATTGAAAAAAATATCGTTTACCGAAAATTGATCACCAACAGAACTATATATATATATATATATATATATACACACATGTCCAAAAGTTTGGAATACTTACAAATAATATACCTACGCCTATGGTAGTTTAAAAAAACTGTTGTTAATATTTACTCTATTTTCTCTGTCTTTGAGGTTTATTTATTATTGGTCGGAGTCGTTATAAAATGGTATTTACCTATATAAAAAAAATATATATAAATATCAATAAAAAAAGAAATATTGCAATATTCCAAACTTTTGGACATATGTGTATATATATATATATATATATATATATATATATATATATATATATATATATATATATATATATATATATATATATATATATATATATATCTATATATTTGAAAAATGTCTGAGTCGTCCAAAAACTATATGACTTGCGATCGTCTTTGGTATTCCGGATACACCTTTATTCAAATAATAACCGGATAGTGGCATGTGTGTAAATCCTCCTCTTCTTGCAGGAGAAAATAAATTAGTCAAAAATGACTAATTTAATAGTTATAAGTGGCTGCTTTTTCACTTGTACCATGGTTAACCATGGAATACCATGGTATCCCAAAATTAAACAGCCAATTCTTATGTAAAATTATCCCCTGAATCCGAAAATGTCGTCAAAAGTTAAAAAAGTAGAACAGTTTTTGAGATATAGTCAATTTTCCATTTAATATGGAATTGGCTATATCTCAAAACTTTCATAATTTTTGACGGTATTTTCGGATTCAGGGGAAAATTTTACATAAGATTTGGTTGTTAAATTTTCTCTATCTATTTTTAGATGTATTTCAGCCATTCCACGTTACTCGGGAATTTTTGTAGCGTCTGTTACAATCAAAAATTGTGAGTAAAAGCTGCCGTAATTAAATTAAATACTATTATAATAGTTACTATTGCAAACATGTTTATTTTGCTTGTAATAATTAGGCTTAAGCTTATAAGCATCATAATTACGGTACGTTTACTAACACTTTTTGATTGTAACGGACGCTACAAAAATTCTCGAGTAACGTGGAATGGCTGATATCCCCTCCTGAATTACATTAATTGCTGGGCGTTGTTAATACTTTCGTTAAACATATGATGCTAAATTTGTCAGAAGATGCAGATAAATGGATTAAATTGACATTTTAAGATCATTATGCTGCATGGGCTGTCTAAAATATGTACCCACATTCTCATGTTTTGTAAAAGCTTGTAATGTTTAGAGAGATCTTACTCACAGAGGTCCTTCATTTAAATGCAAAAAAAAATCTGGTTTGGGACTTTATAGTGAGCAAGCTATGGAATCTTAAAACATAAAGTTTGCAGAAATAATTAACTTTACGCAAACAGACTTTTAAAAGCTGTCAGGGAATATAACAGCAATCACATATAACTTGTTTAATCTAGTATTAATTTTAAGTTTTTATGTGTTTTTTGCGTTTAAAAAGTATGCATAAATATTAAATATTATAAAAGTTTACTATTGCATTTGTATTTTTGTTACATATAACAAAGTAACCATTTTTCTATATTATTCCCAATAGTTTGCCTATATTTTCACCTCTTTGGATTGTATTAAAAACGGCTCTAAGGATTATTGTCATTTTTTTGTTAACTATTTAGTTTAGGCCTAGAAAACATATTAAAGCAATCAGGCGTACCGTGTTAAATAAGAAAGTTTTACGTAATTGGGGGCTGTTTTTTTGTTAAAAATATTCGACACTGACGCTAGAAGTAGAAAAACTTTTTGTTGTAAAAAAATGTGTTTTTTGCCCAATTATATCCTAATAAAATTTAAAATAATATATAAAACGGTTTCAAAGATATTAAGAAATTAATTTCAACACATATTTCTAAAATTCTGTAAAATATCATAATATTTAAACAGACTTTATTTAATCTCAAATTCAAAAATCAAATATGCAAATAGTCAGACTTACCGCCCTGGGGAAAGAATTGAGCGTATATCATTTTAAAATTTTCTTCCTTAACCACACCAGTAGGACATTCCGCCTTAAACCCTCGGTAAATACGTTTCAATTCTGCCTCCGTAAATCGCGTGGCTCTACATAGTGCCTCCAAGCTGTCGGGTCTGTAACGTGGCGGGGTTTCCAAATCTTCTAGTTCGGAATCTTGAAAAAAATAATAATTTAATAAAGATGGATTTTAAAAAGAACTTATTCAAAAATAAAGCAATTCATAAATTTAATAACAGTTTTAAAAATGGTGAATGCACCGGGTCATTATAAAACTTTATATCAAGTAGTAAACACGTAACTAATATCGCTATTTTAACTAACATAACTACAATTGTAAACCCAAAATCAAAAACAGCTCAATAATTTATTTTTATTTTTTTATTATTGTTTTTTTTGGTCAATAATAATAATAATATTTAATAATGATAATTCCAAAAAAATACAAAAAATAACATTAACATCTCGGCAGTAGAAAGCTGGCAAGAATATTTTGGTAGATTTAAATATTTTAGTAGATTAAATTCCCCTTAAAAAAGTGCCTTGGTAATATTTAAATTAGAATAAATAAAAATAAAAATTAATATTTTTTCTTGCGATATTAAATTTCTTTTTAGATCATTAAAATGTGCAACAAGATAATCGAGATACTTATTAACCTCGTTTATCGACAACAAATTAAATGTCGGGCTTACGGCGGATCCCACAGTATTAGGAAAGTGTTAAAAGAATTAGAAATATTTAATTCTTAAGCTTTTTATTATACAAGGTGTCCATAAACTTATTGAAATAAATTTAGGAAAAGATTGAGAAAGTCAAAATAAGACAAAAATCTAAATAAATATTTTTCCTAATTACTTATGTTTGCAAGATACAGGGTGATAAAGTGTTACTTATCATATCAGTTTTTTATTATAACTTCTACTATGGTAGTCTTGGAAAGGTGATATTTTGCGAACAGTCACTTACTACCAAAACACATATTCACACATAATTACAACTGTTTGAATAAACACAGTGTCGTAGAAACGGGGGTTGCTTTAAGCTTATTGCCCCATACAAACTTTGAGGCTAGGTTTTTATAACATTTGATGCAATTTTTCGATTACACAGTTTGCTACCATTAAAAAGGTGTACCTCTCAAACTTCGATAAAACAAACCGTTTCCGAGATATTCGAGATTTCAATAATTGTTATATCGCATTATTTAAAAGTAGAGTCAAACTACGTCAAGTGGGACCAGAAAATTTCACGAAATCACCGATTTTAAAAATAATCACATTATTGTGTAGTAGGCATGACTCATATGTCACAGTAAAAAAAATTGTTTTAAAATTCGTTTTTTTGGTAATGTTATTAAGGTTGACAATTTTGTCAAACTTTAGAGCACGGTAAAATTGAAAAAATAGAATCTCTGGAACCACTATGTATAATTGAATTAAATTTTACACACTATTGTAGAAATGTTTAGACTATATAATGATCATTTAATTAAGGTTAATTTGTTTAAATAAAATAATTTTGCATACTTTTATTATAAACAATTGAAATTTTGTATGTGTTCTTCACGCTGAAATAAAATTAATCTTGTGTCATAATATGCGGCAAACGTTCCCGTTTAATAAAATGTACTCAAAAATTTGTCCTTCATATGTCATTCCGGAGATATTAAATTTTTTGTCCCGCTGTGCGCTTGATCAGTACGCGGCGCGCTTCGCTGCTAGCTTGTCAGGACACGGTGTGCCTGAACGAAGTTTAAATCGCATAAAAATTCCGCAGTTTCTTGTTCGGGACTCTTTGGTGACTTAAAAATAATATTTACCAAAATCCTAGCTGCTCCCCTTTTCGAAACATTTTGAAAAATCTTTTTTATGCATTATGCGTTTTACTATATAAAAAAGTGATTTTTGTCTAACCCTGTATAAATCTAATGATGTGCTCAGTATAAAAACAGTTTCTCTCGTTTACAATATCGGTGTACAAATGTGTACTCTGGCAAAGGTAGACTGCGATAAACAAATAATTTAAAAAAATGATTTTTTTACAAATTTAAACAAAAAACAGTTAGAATTTTGGTAAATATCTTATTTAAATCACCAAAGAGTGCCGATCAAAAAACTTCAACCAATTTTTCGTTCAAAATTGAAAACTACTAAAAAGCCTAAATTAACAACATTTTAAATACTCTCTAAGCGTTATTTTATTAAATTTTATTACAAATCTATTTTTCTTGTAAAATGTTAATAAAAATGCAATTTTGTAGTCTGATAGACGTAGAAATATCTAAAAAAAAAAATGGGGATAAATATTCTTCGCGTGTTATGCTATAATTAATCATGAATGTATACGCTTTTGCATTATTAAAAATAAGTGATTTTTGGCTAACCCTGTATATATCAAATAATGTGAACAATATTAAAAAGTATTCTTTAAGTCTCCTAAATAATTTACTCTAATTTTATAAAAATAAGATAAACAAAAATTAAAAAAAAAATCATGAATTTTCGAACAATTTTGAAAAGAGGAGCAGCTAGAACTTTGGTAAATATCATTTTTAAATCACCAAAGGGTCCCGAACAAGAAACTACAATCAGTTTTTGGCGGCATTTTTATGTGACTTAAACTTCGTTCAGGCACACCGTTAGAACGGACGAGCTAGAAACGAAGCGCGCCGCGTACTGATCAAGCGCACAGCGGGACAAAAAAATTAATTTGAGTACATCTTATTAAACGGAAACGTTTGCCGCATATTATGACACAAGATTAATTTTTTTCAGCGTGAAGAACACATACAAAATTTCAATTGTTTATAATAAATGTATGCAAAATTATTTTATTTAAACAAATTAACCTTAATTAAATGATCATTATATAGTCTAAACATTTCTACAATAGTGTGTAAAATTTAATTCAATTAGGTATACATAGTGGTTCCAGAGATTCTATTTTTTCAATTTTACCGTGCTCTAAAGTTTGACAAAATTGTCAACCTTAATAACATTACCAAAAAAACGAATTTTAAAACAATTTTTTTACTGTGACTTATGAGTCATGCCTACTACACAATAATGTGATTATTTTCAAAATCGGTGATTTCGTGAAATTTTCTGGTCCCACTTGACGTGGTTTGACTCAGTATTAAAAGGCATATCATGATAACAAATTTTATTTTTTAGTTGAAAAAACTAAAAAGGGCATTCCATGAGCCTCGAGACTTTTTGCCCTGACCGTCACATTAAAAACAATTGTAGTTTTTTCAATTAAAAAATTTGTTATCTCTGAAACGGTTTATTTTATCGAAGTTTGAGAGGTACTAGTAGCCAAACTGAGTAATCGAAAAATTTATACCATTTGTATAAAAACCTGACCTCAAAGTTTACCACAGTTTAAACATACCTAATTAGGAAAAATATTTATTTAGATTTTCGTCTTATTTGGACTTGCTTATCCTGCCACTAAATTTAGAGACAACTTGTATATTTTTGTAAAATAATTTATTAAAAAAATATAATTTATTATTTTAGATATTAGGTTTGTTTTAAGTGCAACCGATAATGCATGGGGAATATTTAATATAGTTTTGACATTTTTAGTACTTAAACCATATTCATAAAACATTTTTTATATTTTTAACATTTAAAATTTAAACTAATAATATTATATTATACAATACATTATATATATAATATTATATTGTATAATATTATTAATTTTTAACTTTTTTATTTAATAAAATATAACATTTTGGGTAATACAAATACGTAATAGGATTAAATAATTAAATTAATATTTTAAATCTAAAAAAATATAAAAATAGTAACCTTAGGCAATGATGTAAAATTAATTTATTATTATTATTGTTATTATTATTAATATTATTATTATTATTATTTAACGAAATATTATAAAAACTCTAGCTTTCCTCTATAAATTACTTTAAAAGTATAATTTATTATAAACACGACATAATTAATCAGATAAATTAAAAACCTGAAAGAAATAAAATGTTTTTACTATACGAGCTCTGTAATTACACTTACATTTTTAATTTAATTTCAACTGTAAATTTATTATTTATCTTTGTTTTTGCTCTTTTTTCGTGATTATTGAGTGACATAATTATTACGTAAAATTACATTATACGTAGCAAGTATTAATTTCTTAACTTAAAGTTAATTGGACTTTTCACAAAAAAAAAACATTTAGAGTTCATTTAAATCGTTCATTGGAATTTAAATTTGGATGGTAGGTAATTTAATAATGAAAATATAGTGCAGGTATTTCTATTTACAATAATTATAATGTAAAATAAGTATGATCAAAATAAATGAATACCTTAAAGGCAGGTGCTAATGTCCACATATTTTTTTACTAAAAGGGTTGCTTTCACCATGAAATAATACGACCACATCGAAGGAGAATACTCTTTCGATAAATAGGAAAAATACCAGACATTACATATATTCCTTAAAAAGTTACAGAATGAATTAATTCTATCACCCGATGACGGACTAACACATCCTTCTACACTTACATACAAATACCGCTTATTCGCTATATTTTGTTTCTTTGTTTGAGGGGAAATTTGTCGATTTGGCGTATTATTTTACCTTATGCGCATAATATATGATACCATAGACATACGTCCACGTATGATACGAATTGCCAACTAAATAAAAGTTAGGTTATATCAAATTTTGCTTACATAAATTTCTGTGGTTTGGCTTTATAAAAGGCAAAAAGTGGCATAATTTGCATATTTTGTAAAAGCCACTAAAAATCTCGTAAACTGAATGAAAAAAAAAACAATGCCAAAACAATTGGTTTACAACAGAAAACAAACAAAATGTTTAATTATAAAAACCATTTTATGTCTATGATAAAAACCTTTTTTCTATCTTGGTAGAAATACGACGTTGCCAAATTCTTGCTGTTATAAACATGCCATTATAAGATCTAAAATATCATAATTTTTTATTGTTTCGACCTTAACTTGATGTCACTAATTTATAACTAGATAAAAACAAATATTGTTTTTTTAAGTTTAACGAATTTATTTTAATTTAAACAGTGTTAGCGAAACAATTTTCAAATTAAATTAAAATAAATTCATGAAACTCAAAAACAGTGTTTGTTTTTTATCTATAGTTATACTA